AAAGGATAATCAGAAATTATATATGTTTAGAAAGATAAGGAGATATAAAAAGCATATCTAATGTGTCAGGGAACTAATAATGATATTAATAACGGAAATAATGATAAATATGACGTGAAAAGTTTCAAAGGTTACATTTTGCTTTTCAGTCAATTAAGTGGATGACGGACCTTGTTTGTATAAATCATTATTGAATACATTGATATTCAATAGGTGACATAATCCACTTTCGGAAAGAAAATCGTCAAGGAGACTTTTGAACCGGGTTGTAGTTTCACTGCAACGGAGGTTCACTGGCAGTCTGTTCCACATGGTTGAGTAGCGAATAAGGAAAAAATTCTGACGTAAGTTTGTGTGGGTTCTTGGAATCGCTAGAATATTCTCCTTATTGCGTAGATTGTGGGATGATATCATAAGGTATGAAGGGGTGGATACCGAAGAGTAGGAAATACCGTTAATAAGCCGGTAGATAAAGACAAGATTTAATTTGATACGTCTGATCCAAAGAGGTTCTAAGTTGAGTTGTTGACATCTTTGGTAATAGTCTTTGTTATCGGAATACCCCAGAACAGCTTTGGTGAACTTTCTTTGAACACCTTCAATTCTAATCAGGTCAGTATGTCTACAATTACTGTAAACTAAAATACCATATTCAAGAATGGGTAAGATACATTTTCTGTATAGTAACAATCTCGATTCGATATTATTGAAGTTTATCATTATCAATCCGATCAGCTTTCTAGCTTTGGATACTTGAGATATAATGTGTTCAGAAAAGTTCAGACTGTTGCTATATCTTAAACCCAGGTCACGAACAGTGTTGAGAGGTTTGAGTGTATGTGTCTGTACAGTCAGATTTAAGTTAAGACAGCGACCAATGTGAATAAATCCACTTTTGTCAACATTAAGTGGCATATTCCACGAAATAGTCCATTCGTACAACTTGTTTATTTCCTCTTGGATTACCGCTGAAATATAGCTTTCTTTCGTGGGAGAAGAGAATGAATAAACTACTTTCAGGTCATCAGCAAAAAGAAAAGGCTTACCATACTGAAAGAGGGAACACACATCATTGATAAAAAGGAGAAAGAGTAATGGACCAACCACACTTCCTTGTATAACCCCACTGGTTACATTCACAGGTTTAGAGTAGCAAGATCCAAAGCGAACGATTTGGCTACGTTCTTCTAAAAAAGATTTGAGCCAAGATAAAAGGGGATTCTGTATGCCAAATGAAGAGAGTTTTAAAAGAAGAAGTTTGTGTGAGACACTGTCGAAAGCCTTACTAAAATCGAAGTAAAGAATTATCACTGACTGACCAACATCTCTTCTCTGGGTAATTTGATCAAAAAACTCCAGGTGCGATGTGAAACATGAGCGTTTAGTCATAAACCCGTGTTGGGATGGGATGATCAGACTAGCCGAAAGTAAAAATGATAATAGTTGTTTGTGGATGATTTTTTCCATGGTTCTTGAGAGCACGGATGTCAAATTAATTGGCCTATAGTTAATAATATCACTACGTGGTCCTGTTTTGAATCTAGGGGTGATAAGGGATGTTTTCCATACAGATGGATAGGTCCCATATTCCATAGATAGATTGAAAAGTTTCAAACAAAATAGTGGAAATTCTCTACTTCCATATTTCACAAATGATGAAGGTATCCCGTCAGGTCCACCATCATAAGACTTTTTCAGGGCAGCTATGGCCTGCTTGATGTTGGAGGGTGTAAAATCAATTTTCGACAGATGTCTGGATGTCAGCATTGGAAATGTAATGATGGAGTTTCCAGTTCCAGTTTTGTAGCACTGCGAGAAGTGCTTGCTGAATTGTTCGTAAATGGTATTCGGGTCGTTAACAATGCTTCCGTTAACTATGAAGAATTTAGTCGTGCCAAGGGAATTTGACTTTACACGGGATTTAAAAAGCCGAAGTATTGATAATTCTGGGCTTTTACTACGTAGAGCTTTATTTTCTATATTCATAAAATACTTACGTTTAGATGAAGCATTTCTGTTGATTAATTTAAGTATACTCTGAAGTGCATACACATCATTCTGCTCGTAGTAGCGGCATTTTAATTTCCTCAGCTTTCTTTTAAAAGTATTTTGGCCCCTATTAGCATTATAAGCCACACGGCCAATAACTGGAGCAGTGCAGTCAAGACAATATATCAGGTTGTGGTATAGATTGGAAAGCGCAATGTCAACATTATTTGTGGTAAAATAAGTTTCCCATGGTAAGCACCGAATAAGAGTTTCAGTCCGTTTCCAGGTTTGCTGATCAAAATGTCTGCTCTGGTACATCATTGAAGCTTTAGAGTTCAATCGTATGGCGTTTAGAGGATGAATAATACTCAATACAACTCTATGATCACTCATAAAAAACTCATGAGTAGTATGCACTGAGATAGAGTTTATATTGATTGTAGACAATAAATCAAGTATATTATTCCCCCTGGTTGGTTTTCGGACCTGTTGGACCCATCCACAGATTTCTAGTGTTTCAACTAGCTTGTTATTTCGACCTGGCACCGGAGTCGAACCTCATGTAATTTGTGGTAGAATAAAATCACCTCCGATGATTTCAAAAGTATGTGGTTGGCGCGAAGCAATGGAGATGTTTGTTAGTAATCTCTCAAATTTAGTATCCGCATGAGGTGGTTTGTATATGCATCCCACCAGTAGATAATTTTGAGATTTACAGTTTACAGTAACCCAATTGGAGTCGTCTGTAACATCAAGAGATTTATCCTCGAATTTGCACTCTTGAAGGTCTGAACGGACATAGATAATTGTACCGCCTCCTAATCCATAACATCTATCGGTTCTAAAGAAAACGTAGTTACCTACATTCAAGGAGTGATCGGATATAGATGAATTGCACCACGTTTCCGTAATAAGTACAATGGTTGGATTTACAAGGAATAAAAGTTTTAAGATGAATAATTTTATTGGACAGAGAGCGGGCATTGAACGAAAGAATAAGATACTCAGAGGTATCATAGTGAAGCAGGTTAGAGTAAAAATCACAATTGGTAGTTCCATGAATACTCTTAGGATTGGCTAAGGTAAGAGTTGTGTTGCGAGGGGATATAGATTCAACCATTTTGTCATCATGTGAAATAGTACTAACTGAGAATCCCAGAAATAACTCAGTTGGATCCAGAAATACCATATAACCACAAACGAATGTACTGTATTTGGAATTCGAAATCAAGCATTTAAAATGTACAAAGCAATCGTTAGTTCGTAAAAACATCACAGTTTATTAATAATAAGGATGTCTACGGATAGAGCTACAAGACACTGGAATCTTCTGTTCCACACCTTTGTTACTGACCACACCACGGAGAACCAGATAGGTCATATTTGTGTCAATAAAAAAATCCGAAGGACTATGAAGACGTGAGAACCAGGAGAGGAGCTGACATAGCTTCAGATCACCACTTGGTGGTTGTCAAGGTGAAACTGAGGCTAAAAAACACTAGACAACTGGGGAAACAGCATTACAAAGGTTCAATTAAGACTTCCTACGAGATACTGACAAATTCAACGAATTCAAGATAGCTCTCAACAACAGGTTCCAAGCCTTACAAGATCTACTGAAAGAAGAAGAAACTGCCATAGGGGACAATCGGAAAGGGATCGAAGAAGCACTAACTTCAACATATCAGTAGGTTCCGCGCCGCAAGAAGAATCACCATTATGAATGGATCTCCATCGAAACCCAAGGTAGGATTCAAGAAAAGAAGATCAAGAAGACAACAATTAACAACAGCCGAACAACAAAAGAGAAAGTCAAGGCACAAGCTGAATACACTGAAGCAAACAAACGAGTGGAGAAAAGCATTAAAGCCGACATGCAGAGATACATCGAATACCTACTAACGGGAGCGGAAAATGCTGCAAAAAAAAGAAAATATCAGACAAATATATGACACTACGAAGAAACTGGCGAGCAAATTTAGTAAACCAGAGAGACCAGTCAATGACAAAGAAGGCAAGCCAAACAATGAGATCCAGGAACAAAGGAACAGGTGGGTGGAACACTTCGAGGAACTCTTGAATAGATCAGCTCCATTGAATCCACCAGACATCGAAGCAGCACACAGACCCTCCAACAGGTGTCACTCCACCAGCAGTCGGAGAAATCAGCATGGTCATCAGACAAATCAAGAGTGAGAAAGCAGCAAAACCTTTAAGAATACCAGCCAAAGCACTGAAGTCGGACATAAAAGCAACCGCAAACATGCTCCATGTTCTATTCAGGAAGATTTGGTGGGGGATAACAAGTGCTGACATTATAAAATGAAAGACACAGCTCCACAAGCTACTGAACTCACCAGTCACAAAGCCTATGCACACTAGTGGTATGGAATCAGTGTTTTCCAACTACATATCTTGGTTTACTGTATACAGAAACCCAGTACGAATGCTAGTCGTCCGTCTTTCACCACCTCATCGCCATAGCTGACACCGCCATAAGAACAGTTGGTAGAACTTCTCTTTAAACATGCGGTCATATGAAAGCACTCGGAGGAAGACCACAATTTTCTCACTCTCGGCTGTAACATGGCTCTTAGGGGTGACCTCTCCTATATGTACTGAGCTTGTTTATTGTTAGGCTATTCAGCACTATACTGTATGCACAATACCTGATTCTTTATCCTATAAAGGCATTATTGATAACCAATACTAGGCTCCTGATAGTATAGTCCTTATCCTATTACTTTAAGGAGAATTGTCAACTACTTCACTGTATGTCATATTTAAAAATGGACATTAATACGACCTGGAAGAGCGCTTTATAACTGTCTAGTAACACAACCATTCTATACAGTTTACCTACTATCAGTTATGAAAACGATGAATCCTTTCCACAGATTATGTAAAGAACTTCAGGGAACAATTTCAATCTTCATCAGCTGTATTCGGATATATGTCATCAATGACCAAATTATCCTTGATATTTCCCGTTCTAAGAGAACATAAGAAACTGCATTGCATAAATTATAGTATAGTTTGGTACAAAAAACAATTTAAACACAAACACATCAAACAAAAACGGTTGCTAGAAAAATAGAATCTAATTGTGAGAACTCAATCCAGTTAAATATTAGATTAAAATAACATCGCCACCTTCTACATACGGCCGAATGCAACTGTATGGTAGGAGATGTTGAGCGCCAGGTTCCAAGGTAAGTGATACCGCACTGTAAACAAGAGGAAAACACTAACTTAACAAACATTGTTTGAAATCGATGTCTTTACTCGCCGATTCAGCACCATAAAAAACTAAGCTGATATCGGTCAAATTTTAACTCCTAAATATTTTTAAAACTGGATAATTTGGAATACAACTTACGTTTGAGTTCCATTTGAACTATGATCGAATACTTCTATAAAATCAATTTTCTTCAGTGACTGACAAAATACATAACTGTTTGGGTTTGGATGAAAAGCTTAAAAAAAATAATAGAGTGAATGTATTTTAGTTGACAATTAAATTACAACAACAAACATATATTTCAAACAATGACACATTAAGGAATTTAAATAAAGCTAACCAGAAGACTTATACAACTGCTGTACATTGACAAATAAACACATTTAAGTACCGTTGTTAAATATTACTAGTGATTAGCTTACTGTGAAATACTGGGGGCATTGATTTGCACAAGATATGAAGCGGTAAGTAGAACACTAAGCCACTCAGATATTAACCAGAAGATAAGTGAAAGATGCTGACATGTGTACACTTTTGTCTAAGATCTGGATTGACATTCAGAGGAAAGAGCCATGGGGGATTGTTTGAAAATGCAGTTTAATTTTCTGAAGGAAATACATAATTTCGATTGAAGTTTTTGATTTTATTTTTTTTCATTTAGGTAACTGGTTGTGATTGTCATACAGAGTGTTTATACCAACCACGGAATATAATGGTTAGGAATACTATGCAGCTAACATAACTACGATAAAGGCTGGAGAACTTTAGTGCAAAAAGGCGATAGTTTCAAGTTCAAAGTTCCGGAACCAGTAAAATATAAGCTTTACTTATTAGAGCCGATATCTTGTCAATACATAAGCAACAATAAATATAGCGTATGAGGAAAAACCGATGCTACAAATATCGCCTGCAAAAATACTCACTACTTAGCTTTGAAGTGAGATGAAGGTAAAGAGCCTACAGAATTAGAAAGCTCTCCCAGTAGGTGTCGTTAGGCCATATATATATTTGAAATACTATCAGTATTTACGACAATAACTCTGATTATTAATTTACAAAATTTCACGGTATCAATTGTAAAATGTAGTACCAAATTACAACGGCATAGTGATTCATAAAAAGCACTATAAACTTACTTAACTCTTCGTCTTTAATAGACTGCATATTAGCTGGTAAACGATTAATAATTGTAGTTTTCAAATATTCTCGAATACTATTTGAATATCTAAAATAATGATAATTAGTTAACTGATTCTTTCATTCTGATAATAATAAAAAAACAACAGAAAATCACTGAAAATTTACGATTTTGCAAAAAGATATTCTTCCACTGTCAAATGTGGTAATTCATTTGAATTACGTGAACGTTCTTCAGCTAAAATATGTTCAGCAAATCGTTCAATCTATTAAATAGAAGTAATATAAGAATAAACAGAAATAAACACTGAATAACAAGTTCAAAAACATGTTGAAAGGTTTTCTTGTTCAATGGTTGCATATAATATGATACGATTATAATATGATTATTGAAAATTCGCTTTGTTATAAGGTAATAACATATCATAAAGCAAATACTGTTCATACTTCAAAAAAATCCCCTTTTGCGTCTTACTACTTTGTACATAATTTATGATAATCAAGATATAATTCATTGCATTGAGTGATTGACTTCCAGTCACTAGGTAGTGTGTACTAGTCTGAGATATGTCTTTTATTTTTAAAGATTCGATAAGTCATAAACTGTCATTCACAATTGATTTCACAAATCTGTATATGATAAGTGAGTTTCTTCGCAGACATTTTATGCATCAACAAATGTCTACATACTTATCAACTCTAAGAAAATGGAGAATAAATCACAAAAACGTGTTTGGAAAGAATTGAAGATGGAAGTAATATGGTTTAACTTATATATAGAAGGTTAAATTGATTTCCATTTCAAAAAGATAATATTGTGTTGTGTCAATCGAATTTATAATTAGTAAGATTAAATAGATCTTTGAAGGAATGCACAGATATATCAAGTGTATAAAATGATTTAGATTGTGACATACAAGACATTTTATATTTACTTGTTTTGTTGATAAAATCCATATAATTTACGTGGCATATTTGATTAATTACTGTATAGTACATGAAGAATTTAATGTTGAGGTTCATGCGATTATCGTAATCAATGTTTGGAGACGTTGGGTAATATGGCTTAGAATCGGTTGCAATAACCCAGACATATTCACTTTATGTCTTCTCGCAGATTTTGAGCTTTAAAATTATCTTATGCATTATATTCAGCGAATTAACTTTTACGTATAATATTACTTCTATTATAGTGTTTTTCTTGATAATCTTATCTTGATATGCTGACATAATCTGGCAACTTGACCTGATGAATACATACATGAGATTCTATGTTGCTTATAACTGACTGATTAGACCAATAAAGTGTAAAACTTAGAATTCCAAGAATTGAACATTACCATATAAATTATACGTGTCCAATATATGACATTGTTTCACTAGCAAGATAATTCAAACGCATTTATACCAACGAACACAATAATAAGAGAATATTGTTAGGAATACAGAATTTCCGTTCACGACAGACTACTAACATGAGAACATTAGAATTTGAACTATAAAATGGGGTGATAAAACTTTAGAATTTTTCTAGCTATACTGTATACACATGACCAGAGACAACCATGGAAAAATGACAAACTTTATCAATATGACATCATTTTATAAAGACTAATCATTACAACAAATGACTTTTTAAAATAATCAAACACGGAATCACTTTCCATGTTACCTTTTTCATTCGAATACGCATGTAATCAACCATGATAAATCGGATTCTTTCAACCTGTTACCAAGAAAAAAAATGAGAAAGAGGGAGGGTAATACAAGATTGTCTAATAATACTGCTATCATATTCACTAATCAGTAGTGAAATACTGTACGAGAACAAAGGAATCGGATGAATAATGTTTAGGTTAAATAAAAAGTGAAATAGTCCATGATTTTGGTAATTTATAGCAACTGAATAGTATGCTACATCCCAGACCCCACTAACATCAATTTCATTGTCATGATGATCAAAGTAGAAATAATATGAGGACGTGCAAGAAGTCATATTATTATACTACAGATACCACTTAAGAAAATTCTAAGCGTTCTGGGTAGTGTTTTTCAGACAGCCAAAATCTGTGGTCCAATACTATGCAATATGACTGAAAATCGATTGAAGTAATTCGATACGTCTATCTTATTATTTTAAACTTCACTCTGGTCAACAATCTTTATTTGCATTCACCACATTCTTTTTTTCCTATATACAAGAAAATAACTTATTCCCATGTACTGTTATTGTAACGTAATTTACTCTATGTGTTAGCCTAAATGACGTAAGTAACTTATCACTAATGACTTTACTCTTTCTTCATAAATTATCCATTCGCTGCTTACTTGAATTCGTTTAATTTGAGCTTTCAAATCACCAGCTGGTAAGGCTTTAGCTTCAGCTTCCAACTGATTCACTTCAGCTTGAATAAGACCTAACAGGTCAGAATGTGCAGTTAATAGTACAGGAGCAAGTTTTTCATTTTGCCATATCTGTTGTGATGCGTTAAATAAAATGCGAAAATTAAAACATAAAAAACTGGATGATTTCTAACGAAAAAACAAACTCCTTTTTTGAGATAATAAAGTGTGGCGAGTACGAATAGTTGCTTTTAATGGTGTTGTGTTCCCTGAGCTGGATGATTTAGCTACACAGCTTTGGTTATTGTTCTGGACAACATTATTAGCGTCTAATTCATTTACCATGTACTTGGGTATGAATCACAATAAGTGTGAGGGCTAATGATACTGCTTGGTTACGTAAACCGAGGTAGGTAGAGCCGATTTCGAATCAGGAACTTAATGTCTGAAAATCGAGTGCCCTAAACAATAAGCCAACGCTTCACTTGTTAGTGTCTACTTTAAACAGACAATCAATAGTAAACAAAATTTTCAGGACAGAACTATCTGAGACTTTAGAAGTCAGCTTCTATTCGAGCAGAGGCCGAATAATCTTAACGAAATTAATTGTAGCTTTGCAATTCAACCATCCAAATGACGGAAGAGAAAAACAAAATATAAAGTCCTCGAGAGATATGCCAATAGCCTAAAGACATAAAACACATCACATCCAGGACATCATGGTTTTTAAGTCAAATGGAGTTGAAGACTATCGGGAAGAAGTTTGTTGGGACATAGTAATCTAATAGCATGCATATTTTTAGTGAGTCACATTCTTTTGAAGACTTGAATATTTACACCGAAGATGGATTATCATAAATATGCTTGAAACGTAATGAATCATTCTTAAAATTGGAGTCAAGTGAGAACGATGGTATGATGCTACAAGTACGTCACAGATGTCTGGAGCACTTTTTACAACATTGTCTGCTAATATAATGCGTAAAGTGGCACTATTTCTTTACTGCTTAATAGGTTACTAAATTAGATCATGTAAAATAAAACTATGCAAAATCAAAAAGTATGTCAACTCTTACTTAGGCAGAACACCAAGTTAAAACGCATAAAACGAACCTTATAAAAACGTTTCAGTAATTCAGCGGATGTAAGCAACTCTTCATCAGAGTGATTTTCCTCATCTGAACCGCCAATAATTTCATCGAGGTCCGGTGCTAGAGGACCAGTGGTACCTATATTATTATTATTACTATAGAGAGCCTGAAATTATGTGAAATTAATGGGTAAAAATGATTTTTAAAGCAATCGAAGGACTAGAATATCTATAATAACAGATCAGTAACATTCAAAGAACCATGTAGAATGTGTTACACAGATGTACAGATATATGCAGGAATCAAACTGCTGATGATCATAACCAACCGATATTACGTTTTTATCAAGAAAGATATCCTTTGAATGGAGTTCACCTCATATTTATTCGAATGATTTGTTTGTGATAATGTTTAATGTTTCGAACGATATATTTATAACTTACTCACGCCTGTTACCCCTCGTGGAGGAGCATAGGCCACCCACCAGCATTTTCCACCGAACTCTGTCCCGGGTAACCCTTTCCAGTTGCTATTTATCCTTTTGATGTCTAATTTCAGTTGCCGGCACAGGTAATTATAAATAGTCAGACTTTGTTATAAACACACGCTTTCTTTAGTCCGTCCTTATGTTTACCGAATGAATAGTGATATCTGGAATTTCTGATCCATAGATTATTTTCACCACGCTATGTTTCTTTAAATTCAAGATCATTAAACACCTCATTCGTGATACTTGAAACCCTTAAACGCCTTATGTCGTAAACTCTTTTTATCATACTATAAACTAATTTAACTCCGCCTGTAGCTCTTCCAGAGTTACTGACGGTCCCAACCCGGATTAAAAGAGGAGGGTTGGGCATGGGGTTAGCGACCCCATCCCGTAGAAAACTAACTCGCTAAACAAACGCTTACCAGAAAAAATAATTCAAACCATTTAAACTCTGCCCTGGGAGTTAGAAGGTCTTCATTTAGAAGAATTATGACGCTTCATGGTGAAAGCCGAGTTCCTTAGGAAGCCACGAGACCGATGCCCCTTCTAACAACTAGAGCAAACATTTTTATAGGTACGTGGAACGTTCGAACAATGTGGGAAACCGGGAAGACCAGTCAAACAGCAATGGAAATGAGGAGATACAACTTAGCAGTACTGGGAATCAGCGAAACCCACTGGACCCAAGCTGGACAGAAAAGGCTAGCTACGGGAGAGATGCTGCTATACTCCAGTCACGAAGAGGACAATGCTCCACACACTCAGGGAGTTGCTCTTATGCTGTCCAAAGTAGCACGAAATGGACTTGTAGGATGGGAGTCTCACGGATTCAGAATCATCAAAGCATCATTCAAAACAAAGAAGGAGGGGATCTTAATGAATATTATGCAATGTTATGCACCCACCAATGATAGCAACGACGACATTAAAGATCAGTTCTACGAGCGGCTGCAGTCAATCATTGAGAAATGCCGAAGAAAGGACCTAACTATTCTGATGGGAGATCTAAATGCCAAAGTCGGAATAGACAACACCGGATATGAAGATATTATGGGACGACATGGACTGGGACAGAGAAACGAAAATGGAGAAAGATTTGCAAATCTATGTGCATTCAACAAATTGGTCATAGGGGGCACAATATTTCCACACAAGCGTATACACAAGGCTACATGGATCTCACCGGACCACACTACAGAGAACCAGATAGATCATATTTGCATCAACAAAAAGTTCCGAAGGACAATGGAAGATGTAAGATCCAGGAGAGGAGCTGACATAGCTTCAGATCACCACCTAGTTGTAGCCAATTTAAAACTGAAGCTAAAAAAGAACTGGACAACTGGACAAACAGCATTACAAAGGTTCAATACAGCCTTCCTTCGAGATACTGACAAACTCAATGAATTCAAGATAGCTCTCAACAACAGGTTCCAAGCCTTACAGGATCTACTGAAAGAAGAAGAAACTGCCATAGGGGACAATTGGAAAGGTATCAAAGAAGCATTAACTTCAACATATCAGTAGGTTCCGCGCCACAAGAAGAATCACCATGATGAATGAATCCCCATCGAAACCCAAGGTAGGATTCAAGAAAAGAAGATCAAGAAGACAACAATTAACAACAGCCGAACAACAAAAGAGAAAGTCAAGGCACAAGCTGAATACGCTGAAGCAAACAAGCAAGTGAAGAAGAGTATTAGAGCCGACAAGAAGAAATACGTGGAAGAACTAGCAACGACGGCAGAAAAAGCTGCTAGAGAAGGAAATATGAAACAGCTTCACGATACAACGAAGAAACTAATAGGGAAATACAGTAAACCAGAGAGGCCGGTCAAAGACAAAGAAGGCAAGCCAATCACCGAAATTCAACAACAGCGTAACAGATGGGTAGAATACTTCGAGGAACTCCTGAATAGGCCGGCTCCAATGAATCCACCGGACATCGAAGCAGCACACATAGATCTTCCTATAGATGTCAACCCACCAACGACGGAAGAAATTAGAATGGCCGTCAGACAAATCAAGAACGGGAAAGCAGCAGGACCCGACAACATACCAGCTGAAGCACTGAAATCAGACATCGAAGCAACCACAAGCATGCTTACCTTCTATTCAAAAAGATTTGGGAGGAGGAACAAGTGCCGATGGACTGGAAAGAAGGACACCTCGTCAAGATTCCAAAGAAAGGAGATCTGAGCAAATGTGAAAACTACAGAGGCATTACACTACTGTCAATACCAGGGAAAGTCTTCAACAGAGTGTTGCTGAACCGGATGAAGGATGCAGTAGACGCCCAACTTCGAGATCAACAAGCTGGATTCCGTAAGGATCGGTCGTGCACAGACCAAATTGCAACACTACGGATCATCGTCGAACAATCAGTTGAGTGGAACTCATCACTATACATCAACTTCATTGATTATGAAAAGGCATTCGACAGTGTAGATAGGAGGACATTATGGAAACTTCTTCGACACTACGGAGTTCCTGAGAAGATTGTCAACATTATCCGGAACTCATACGACGGACTACAGTGCAAAGTAGTGCATGGAGGACAGCTGACAGATGCATTCCAAGTAAGGACTGGAGTCAGACAAGGCTGTTTACTCTCTCCCTTCCTCTTTCTTCTGGTGGTCGACTGGATTATGAAGACCTCGACATCTGAAGGAAAACACGGAATACAATGGACAGCTCAGAATCAATTAGACGATTTGGACTTCGCAGACGACCTAGCCCTCCTATCACGTACACACGAACAGATGCAGATGAAGACAGCCAGTGTAGCAGCAGTCTCTGCATCAGTAGGCCTCAGCATACACAAAGGGAAAACCAAGGTCCTCAAATTCAAGCGGAGAACAGCAATCCAATCACTCTTGATGGCGAAACTCTGGAAGATGTAGAGTCCTTCACATACCTAGGAAGCATCATCGATGAACAAGGAGGTTCAGATGCAGACGTAAAGGCGAGGATCGGCAAAGCAAGGGTCGCATTCCTACAATTGAAGAACATATGGAACTCAAAACAACTTTCAACCAATATCAAAGTGAGAATCTTCAATACGAACGTCAAGGCAGTTCTACTGTATGGAGCTGAAACTTGGAGAACTACAACAACCACATCAAGAAGGTACAAGTATTTATAAATAGCTGCCTACGCAAGATACTCAACATCCACTGGCCGGATACCATCAGCAATAGCCTTCTGTGGGAGAGAACAAACCAACTTCCAGCTGAAGAGGAAATTAGGAAAAGACGATGGAAATGGATAGGACATACATTACGCAAATCGTCAAACTGCATCACGAGGCAAGCCCTAACTTGGAATCCTGAAGGAATGCGGAAAAGAGGAAGGCCAAAGAACACATTACGTCGGTAAATAGAAGCAGATATGAAAAGGATAAATAACAACTGGAAAGAGCTGGAAAGGATTGCCCAGGACGGGGTTGGATGGAGAATGCGGGTGAGCGGTCTATGCTCCTTCACGAGGAGTAACAGGCATAAGTAAAAGCAATAAACTGATTTATTTGTTAAACGATTATAAATGTATTTTTACATCCTCAATAAAGGATGTTATCGAAAAGAGAATTTTCTCCAATGAATTATCTTTACTTTCTCTTCAGTAACCAAATAGGTTTTTATTTTGTATTCATCAGACAGAGATAGATATGCATATCTGTACCAGTGTTAGTTAGTCCCTTTAATGGTAATCATACTATGTACTAGCATAACAACTATCAAAGAAACAGAAAGATGAAACCTATTGACGTACCGACAATGCTTATCAGTAAATAGACAATTTAAAAAAATGGAAATTCAAGTCATAGATTGCTCTCAGTTGAACAGCTAATGAAAACCAGTAAGCACTGAATAGCTGCTTTTATCTAGTATGGAAATTTTTATTAATTGAAGTTAGACATAGACATCATTGATTCTTGGCCCAGTGGTTTGAAGATTAAGTACTGGTCATGAGACCTGAAGGTCCTGGGTTTGACCCCCTATGGGACCATGAGAACGCACGATTGGACGAAATAGCTATCCGGTGCTTCATGGTTTTCAACGGTTGTCTAAGATCAGTTTATGATACACTTTGAAATTCAACAATTGCCACAAACCTCCTATGATGAAAAAATTAGTTGTACTGACAAAGTATCATGTTTTATTTAATTATCATTTTGTACAAAATAGAAGTAAAAAAAGATAATCATACTAGTAAAGTTAATTGTTTTAGATTGTTGTCTCTTTCTTACAATTTCACAACAATTTTCGGTGCCAATTTTCGTACTACTTGAACAGTACATGGAGCTGGTGGTTTTCCAGCTAACTGATAAGTTTGACTACACTCATCAAAAGAATATGTGAAACGTGAACGTCCATCAGGCGGTTTCAATGAATGCACAGATTTTAAATGATGTGTAATTGTAAATGGTTTACGCGCTTGATACGATGAACAAAGATGACAAGAATACCATAAACCATCAGGGTTACTACTTAGATGATAACGTCTATAATGAGCACGATAAGCGGATAATTTTGTAGATTTATAAGAACAACCTTGAACTTGACAATAAAATTCATAGTTTTCTTCTGATAGTTTATTAATCGAAGCTATTTTAAAATATGGTTTAGAAACATGTTTACGGGAAAGTGAAATACAATCCAATTTCTTAGTGTTAACAGCAGTCTCTTTGTTTAATGAATTTGAGCATTCACGTATATGAGAAGTCCAACCTTCCTTAGTAATAAAGACTTTTATACACGTTGGGCATTGAAATATAGTTGTACCTTCAAGATGTTTTGGAAAAGGCGAAGATTCATCCATTAACTTCAATAATATTGGGCAATTGGTACTATTTTCATCTGAAACAGGAAATATATATATATATATATATATATATATATATATATATATATATATATATATATATATATGCTATTGATTTGCTTCCCATGAATAAATCATTACTAGGTCTTTGAGTTTCTGTTATGAAGTCGAATTATTTGCGTTATTCATTTCAGTCGGTATACTAGAGAACAGCGGTTCGATGAAATCTTATGGATTGCTTTAAAAGCTGAATTTACATTGATATGGTATAAACTAGATGTGTTGAAACCGAGTTTCTTAATGTTATTCTCTTGTAGTTTGGCAAACCGACTATGCTTTTAGAATCCGGATCGTAATACACGGCAAAAGCCATAAGAGTAAATATCAATAAATCTAATCTCTGTATACAGAGAAAGTTTGTACAGTCTCTTAATTTACTCTGGATTTCTTCCACCTAGTTACTATTGCCTTTCATAAAATTACTTAAAATTTTTGGAACATTTTGATGTAATCTTATGCAATGTGTTTATGAATCATAATTGCCTAATTTTCAGTGCATTTTCTTTTATTAATTAAGCTCTTTATTAATCTGACAGATAACATAAAACATTTCTATTTACATCAAAGTTCAACTACTTATATAACTAGTTGTGATAATTAAGTGATTATGAAATTTCACCTTAGTTTTAATTGAAATTTTACAATCATTTTGTTTCTAACCGATTACCATGTTGTTTAATAAACTTATCACTATTTATTTGATAATGACTCTATATGTAATTGTAAAACCTAGATATTGGAGTAGAGCCTTGATGAGAGACTGATTGAAAACGAATATTTCGTTCAACTAGTATTCTGATCGACAATTATCTAAGACTTATGTATATATTTAATCAAATTTCGTTCTCACAAATATTCAAATACATTGGCTGGTTTGATGAAAGATAATATTGTGGAGACAAAACATTAATTAATGCTTAAACATTAAAGTTTAACATAATAAAAGAAATGTTTAGTGGTAAAAGAAAATACCTATTCCATTAAATTTGACCACATTCCGACAATCTTTAACTAAACTCCATGTAAAATGCTCCTTAAAATTGATAAATTCTGCAAAACACACATAACATTTAGAACAGATGTAACGTGGTAATCCAGTATGACGACGTACATGACGATGAAAATGTGAACGACATCTGCTTATAGAACCACATATTGACTGATCTGAGATGGTCAATGAATCCACACTCAATGATTGCCATAAACAAGTTAGTTTAGTATTACTATTATCATCTTCATCGTCACAATCATCATTATTTTTATCATTACCATACGGAAAATCATGCTCCTTAACATGCTCGATGAATAGATATGCTGAATTCGTACTAAATAATAAAGAACAACCAATAGGGGAATGAAGGTAAATAATAATGTCCTGCTAATTAACTGAAATTAATCATCCAAAGAGTCGAGGTTACAGTTCTATACTTTCAAGTAATCACTAACAGGAAACTTTATGCTTTCTCAAATATTTGTAAATATATTAGTTTGTGCCGCAGAGACGACGTTACGCTAAGTGATCCATCTTCTGACTGACTGACTGACTGACTCACTGCAGTATTCAATCACCTGCAGACAAACATTGAAATCTAAAGTCCAAATTTTAATGTCGATTGTTTTTAATCACATAACATGAGATAAAGTCTAATGATTTCACTGAAAAATCTATCGGTAGGACCTAGGTGCCCTAGGTCAAAGTCTGTTGGTCATCATTAAATTGGCAAGTCAGTGAACATTAGGATCATATGCACATAGAAATACCGAGCTGAAAGAAATAGAATAAATCAGTTAACATGGGGTCTCAATACAATTAATTTTGTTCCATAAGACGTTAAATAATCGTAGTAATAAAATATAGTGGACTAATAATAACATTACAGTGATTCATTTGTGTAATAAGCTACAAACTTGCAACTACGACTCTCAGTCAGTCAGTCAGTAACAACGTAGAACTTCGTACGTACGTACATCAGTTCGAGTTGCCATACCACATTAGCACAGAGATGCAGTTGTCGATTTAAATCCCATCGTGGAAGAGGTAGTAAAAGTATAAGAAGTAATCGGAAAAATTAGGGTTTGAAGATGTTAGTCAAGGAGTATAATTACAATGAACGAGACGAATTTCTGAGCTCCTACTTCCCTGCCTACTAGCTAGAGATAGAAGTCAAACTTTTTTTCAGATTTACTCCACTAACGAGAAAGATAATCCAGAGTATAACTGTCAAGTATAAATATATTTATAATGTTGGTGAGACTATAATTTATGGATGACCTTTGAGCGACGCTAAAGTGACCTTGGGATGACTCGCCTAATTACTAGGATCAAAAGAGGGCCATAAATTAGGATTAAGATTTAAAGTTAGAATTTAAGGTTAACGATTAAAGTGGAGGTTCTCATCACGAGCTGACATCAGCTATAATCCCACAATGCTACTTAACTACGTGAACGAATGAATTTCGCGTCCAAGTCCAAGACTTGCTATCTTTCCTTTCATTGTTTGGTCCATGAATTATAGTCTCGCCACAATGCCTTTCGTGATACAGTGATGAAACAACGTACTAAAACGTAAGCAAATCAATAGGGTAAAAAAGCACTTTTAAACAGAGAAAAGGAAAAACTAATAATACGGGAAATTTAGGCGAGAAAAACGCAAAATCCAAATCATGTAAAATAAGTTAATATAAAAATCAGTTGTACAGATTATTTCCGATATTTACAATCCTCAATACGGTGAAACCCTGGAAACTTTAGAAGTATTATTTCATAAGCAGAGTACCGAATTCAAGTGTTCACCATCTCTTCTAGCAACTAAATACACTTTAGATAAATGAGGAGAGGATAATTACAAGCTAGATCCAGAAAGTCGTTCCATAAAATGCTGAGCAGATAAGCGAAATCTACACTTTCAAAGTACCAGATGGTTTGTTAGAAGTTATTCATATACTTGAGTTGCAACACTTCAAGTGTAGATAAGACAAACGTTGAGTAATTATCCGAACTGTTAACTAACATTTAGTAAGGTGAATTGGATGCTAATAATAACATCACCAGCAAATGGTGTATAACAAATGAAGTGTAATTATGAGTAAATATTTCCTTTATATGCATCACTTCATGAAATTATCAACTGTTGAATCGAACCGTATAGGTAAAAGCAAACTACCTAGTTGGGATTCACGCAATTATTGTAACCGATGCTTGGGGATGTTGAATGACAATGCTTTGAATCGATTCCGATGAAGCAGATATTTTCACTTTTCGTCTTAAAATACATTTTATTTGGCGAATCCATTCATTTTTCTCGAATTATATTTTCTATACGCAACCTGTTCTACTACCAATGATGTGGTTACCAGTTCTATTATGGAATTTCAATAATTTCATCTCTCTGTATTATGTACTATGGCAACTTGAACCGACACACATATGTCCCGAGTTCTACGTTGGTGAGATTGCAGTTAACACATAAAATTGACTAGAGTACTAAAATAAGACAAAGGGATACTGAAAAAAATGACTGAAACTAAATTCTCACTCAGAAGAATGTCTATTCTTTATCGTTTTGCCCTTAAAATACAATTTTTTTCCATACTCGACGATAAAGTTCGAAAGTGTGAAATAATAGCTAGTTAATGAGACAAAAATTTCGGACTTCATAAAGTGCCCTTTCTTTCTATTGATATCAAGTACAGTACATTGAAATAGATATATTACATTATTATCATCTGATCATCTCTGAGTGTTGTATGTATTATCAAGTTGATGAGTTAATTCAATTAATCAACAAAAATAATTGAAATACGAAGGAAAAAATTGAAAAAATTACGTGTAATCACAGTCTTTCCATTGACATTCGAAACCTCTATTCAAAATTATGGTATTCCATAAGAATGTTTCTGTTGATCGTTGAAGATACGCAGGTTTCTGACAACTTATTCCACAACATACAAAATTCCAAGCCTTATGATGGGCTTTAAGAAGCTTATTAGTATTTACTATGCAATCTTCAAAAAATATATGTAGAAGTGTATGACGCAATAACTGATTTTGTTCCTGGAATATATCCTTTTTCTGGCAAGAATCCCATAGACAGACAAGCTCAGGTACATTATTCAAGTGGCATTCAAGGAAATGTACATGTAATCGAATATAGTTGGGGAAAGATTGACAACAATTATGCCATCTACATTGAAGTAGTAATTCTTCATCTGTAAGAAAATTATTAAAAGGGTAATACAAGTAAAAGGACGAATATATACACAAAATTAATTTTAACATAAAATGTAGATAAACTACTATAAAATGACCAGTTATATTGAATGATCTCACCATCCCGAAATGTAATAATCTTATAATAGCTGAAACAACATATATTAGCTTATGAATATATTTCAATAATGCAATGAGAAGACGAAATTTATCAAAAGGACTAATCGTTTTAAATTTATGCATATATTGAATAACTTTACGTCAAAAAATCTCTAAAATACTATTTACAGTAGATGGTAAATCAGTCATTTGGTCATCATCAACGTAGAGCCTGGCAAAGATCTGAGTTGACCCAAGTTTTCATACCACATTAACATGACGAGATGAAAATAACAAGAATTGTAATGTAGTGGAAATAATGATGAAGATTAAACATTGAGAATATAATAAATATATTTTTGTTATATCCAAATGAGTAGAAAAATTGTATTTCTGACGTTTCATGACTTAATCTATGCTACTTCTTCAGTAGATGTATATAACAAAAATATACTTATTATTAACTTTATACCCAATGCTCAATTTATCTGAAACCATAAAGTTCAACCTTGGTACTGATACCTATAAACTCATTGAGAATATGGTTTAAAAGGGTATATATGAAGGAACACTGAAACTCAAGACCTAGAGGAAGATAAACAGAGAATTGATATCCACTATTATGGATGATTTTAAGCTATATCACTCAAGGTCTCCAACCACTGAATGTGGTTATTACGTAAACACTAGTCACATAATCTGAAATTACCAAAAGGGCTCAGACCAATAGTGAATGGCTTTATGGACTGATTTAATGTCGTGCCCATCTCTAGCTTTCTCTAACCCACTTCAACATCAGTAAACATATAATGCTAAGATAGGACATGGTTAGGGATAAGTATTACATGCTCTATCTACCTCAATCGATGAAGATTTAAAATTTTGCCGACCGATATTCCATCATTCCCTAATACCCTTGCGTTTAATCCCAACAATGACCACTCGGTTTTTTCACAAAACGCGAGCAATGCATCGAAAACGCTTATAAAAAACGTGCAACCAATACATGTATTCTGCTCTCAAAGTCTGTTTCGCAGCCGTAAATTAGAACAGAATGGACAGCTGTGTAGTATACACGTCCCTTGGTTGGTAAACGATGGGATCCGTTCAGTAATGTAAAAAATTCCAGATCATAAACACATTCACCGTTCGTTGCCATGTCGACTCAAAGTCTAATAAAACTTTGTTATCTCATGGATTTTTTTTAATGGAGAGTAATCGTTGTAACAGTCATTAACATGATCACTAAGGGAGTAGTCCCAAGTCACTACAAAAGCATGGTGAAAAAAAGGAACCATAAAAGGTAGGGAAGACAATCAATACCAAGATTTTAGTGATACTCAAAAAAGCGACTCACCATCTTCTGCTTTCATCTGTGACTATAATATTTATTACTGGTACAAATGCAGAAATCTAAAAAGAAAAATCATAAATCTCAACCAACTACGAGAAAACGTATAAAATGAAATATGTGAGAAGCATTTGTTGAGACCCTTTAAGAGTTGGAAGTGATACGATAAATATCAATAGGCTGGTTAGAGATTAAACTTATGCGCTCATCCCTAGTAAGTTGTAAGTTATGAAAAAGCATCAGTTGAGTAAAACGGAGTCTTGTCGATCATATCTAGTTGCTAGATACATACACTGATTCTTAAATTTGGTTTTACCATTTCAAATTACAGTGGTAATATTCTCAACAATCCCAACCAAAAGCTAATTTTCATAACCAACACTGTCCTTGATATTTTGAAGCGATCGAAAAACCCAATCAGTAATGTTGGGAAAAAATTACAGACCGTAGTAGGCCAGTATGGTACACAATGATCATTGTTATTTTTAGTTGAGTACTAAAAACTATGAAGCAAACTTCAAAACTGAGTTTATGGCTGATTGATAAGGATTTAAATGTTAAGATATACAAATGCTCTATTCTAGACCAATAACAGGGATGAACCCTATGCAACTTCGGGCACCTGATATTAAGTACTGTCTATTTTCTTCATTATCCGAAATAATTAACAAAATCTTACCCAGGCTTAGACGATACAGATCTGATTATGTTAGTACTACGGAATATTATCGTGGTCAGTAGATAAAATATTAATTTTCCTTGAAAATGACGAAACAAAAACAGCATCCAACTGTAGAGATAATAGTGACTTAATGGCTAAAACACCTAATTTTCCGTGATAAATACAACTAGAAATACATATTAGTAAATAATACTATAGAACATATGTTACCATAACGTGTCTGGCCTAAGTATTTGCTTTCATACGAATCCAACAATATTATCAAACTCTTGAGTCTATTTTACGCTTGTAGCTAATTATCTCAAAGACACTTCTATATCTACCATGAGACATGGAACAGCTTCGCCTTACTTAATAACTACTTCGCGAACTCCAAACACTTATTATCTTCAAGCCTACAGTTCAAAGTTCATACCTGCAAACTAATTGCAAAACACCTAAATATTCTATCAATAGCAGGAACGCTATAACTATTTTTGATTTAACTGGAAATAAACATCCACACCAACAGCCGATTAATTCGTTTCCACATAGTTTTCAGTTTTGTGAACATAAATGTCAATTATTCACTGTGATCAACCCCCTAATTCACCTCCTATATCTGTTCTCCGACATCTCAATAGAAATGTCTTTTTGGATTGAGATTCGCGATGCGCGTTTCGCTTTATCTAGGACTTGTCAAGTTTAGGTACTTGCATCCTAGTATAAATGTTCATACTGAAACTGAACCAGCACCTATGGCCTCAAATACTAAAACATTACATTGAGACCAGATAGGTACTAACTTGTTCAACAGGTATGATGTGCATCATTCGTCAGTCATCATGAACATACAGCCCGGTACAGATATGTGTTAGCCCAAGTTTCCATACCACATTTGCGCAACGAGATGATATTATATCATCTATAATAGTCTACTTTTCCTCATTATTGATATTTAGGGGTAAATTATGATTAACCTCTGCTGGTATTTGTGTTCCCTGAAGGTAAACCTCGAAAATGCGTATAATGACAAGTTTTGTCACCTTAACAAATAAACAAAAAAACATTTTTGTTAACCTCCTTTGAAGTCCATTTTAAAGAGGACAAATATTATACTTGAATAGTTCCGTGATTAGAAGACATAAATCGTCATAAATGTTGCGATAGTGCAGAAGTGTTCATATTAGAACAGGCAGGAATTGAGGGGCAAAACATCCTAGCCTTTTTGTTAAGATTATAATTTATAAGGAAGCTATTATATACGAGACATGTCCAAGCAATTATGATTGAGACTCTATTGGTAGTCAAACAAGCACGTGTAAGAGGTAGAGAGGATTTTGTATACTCATTATTATTAAAGAATTTTATTTCTAAAGGATTAAAAAACGAAATTTATTTTCTTGCTTAGTGGGAAATACGAATTTCTAGTAATGGTGAATACCATTTACCCAATGCCCAAGTTTTTTAAAACCATCAAATCTGAACTCTTTTTGGATATTTTCGCCATTAAAGATACCAAAACTTTTATAACCTCATTAATGGACTGCACTAGACTTTCTGCATCCCAATTATGATGCATCCATATGAATCAGATATTAAGATTATAACTATAATTACATACATAAAAATCTGATCCATAAGTGAACATCAGTAAGGGTACCAAGATATAGCTCTGTTGAAATGTGTTGTAGGCGTTAAACAATACACATTTGTTCATAACTAGATCCAGGAACAGTAAAGTGGGAAATGAATTACTAATCTAAAATAATAGTCAGATTCAAAAGTGTAAGATTAAATCTTGATATATGACACAAATCATCTAAGATAAGTCTCATGACAAATTACTAAAAAGTTGAGTAGCAAAAAAATTGGCCTCCAGTAATAGAATCAAATGATTTAATTATATGATCGGGTCATCCTGCCTAGGGATACTAATAAAAAGTTGTAGATTCAACTGGATGATCACTCTTGTTTTACAAAAAGCGATGCGTAAGCAACAGCAAAAAGTTCATACCAAGCTTTCGCCTCAGGTTGAACATATTTTCAACCCAGTGAGACGGTGAACTACTGAAAACAAAGCATACATTTGACGGCAGTTTAGTCATCATTCGATCAATGCTCTAAATATCTAAAATAAGGCCAATCAGTTTCCTATAAATGCTCCTCACAAGAATGTTACTTACTTTCATCACAGTCCAACTACTGATTAAACCACAGTAACTGTCTTTAATCTTGCCACCCCACTAGTCATTTCACTGACTTCATCTCGCTGTGGTGACAACGCATAGAAACTTGGACCGACATATATTTCGACTAGGCTTTATTTTCATTATGACTGACTGAATGACCCAAGCTGACCCATTTAACATCCCAAGACCTCGAGATACGGTGTGGCTCAGTTGGATTATTACGAAAAGCAAGCACACCCAACATATCAAGACGACTCTCGTGTTCAGAAAACCACAATTCCGCAAAATACAAATAAGCATACCAAGATTGTGAAATATTAGATTTTTACTTAATACAGGATTAAGAAAAACACAGGCTATAATGTTACTGAAAAGACGTTTAAACTGGAAAACTTTTATTTTTAATTTAGAATTTAATCTACGTCTTTAGTAATACAAACTATGTACAATACTGTCTTGTGAAACACAGTCCACAGAGAATAAGGCTAATACATAAACATATAGATGTCTTGTCTACAATAACTTTCAGTAAGTGCCCGACGGTAACTTCTCGTGGAAGTCAAAATTTAGAGATTCTTCAGCTGCACTGGCCACTGTAAAGGCATTTAGTATGCTACATCTCAACTTACAGCTTTTATCCACAGCTTCTATGTATGTAGTTAATTTCCGTTTAAACGACTCAAGTGCCTCTATAGTATAATCAGACAATTCTGCCATTTCACCTGAAATTGAGTTAGGATCTATTTTCTGCATTTAACGAAAAGAAAACGTATAAATAAGTCCTACAAAACACAAATGCCATAAAAACGTTAACTGTTACGTAATCTTTTTGTCCTATTTGTTTAAATGCATAAATATTGCATAACTATTGGTACAAGGAGACACCAAACATACTTAGGGGCCACACCCCACAAGTAGGTTGCGAATGTGGTCCACACTTCAGGACATTTTGCCGAACCCGACGTGTAAGATATTGTTACTAACTAACGACTAAATACAAACGAACCAACATCACAACTGCAGTCAGTCAGTCAGTCAGTAACAACGTAGAACTTCGTACATATGTACATCAGTTCGAGTTGCCACACCACATTAGCACAGAGATGCAGTTGTCGATTCAAATCCCGTAGTGGTAGAGGTAGCAAGAGTATAAGCAGTAATCGGGAAGATTAGGGTTTGGAGATGTTATTTAAAGAGTATAATCCAGTGAAATAAATTTGGAAAGAGGAAAAAAGGGACATGAAGGATTCAGAAGATTAGAATTTGGGAGAACACAGAGAGTGGATGCACCTGCGCCATTGCAAACGATTTTGAGCCATGTCATTCAGGGTCTCTAACCATCGGTTGCTATCATCTCGCGGTCCCCAACCAGGTAGTCTACACCTACCAACATGACTCAGTCCACTTGTCAGTGACTTCATGGACTTGTGCCATGTTTTGGTTTGGCCGCCCCTAGCTTTCTTCCAACCTACTCCTATACCACTGAACATAGCACGTCGAGGCAGTCGGCCGTTGGGCATACGTAACACGTGTCCCAACCATCTCAACTGATGAAGTTTCACTACTTCATCAATTGATTTGCCATCCTTACCTAGTACCCGTTTCCTAACAACTGCATTACTTACTCGATGGTCCCACGATATACGAGCAATATTTCGAAGACACCTATGATCAAATACTAGTAACCTACGAATATCCTCTACTCTTACCGGCCATGTTTCACTGCCATAAAGTAGGACGGAACGAACTGCTGCGCAGTAAACCCGTCCTTTGGTTGATAGACGGATATCTCGCCTACGCCATAAATGACGCAAGTTGGCAAAAGCTAGTCGAGCCTTCTGTATCCGTGCTGAGATTTCGTCACACACTAAACCACAAGGGCTGATGAGACTTCCAAGATAAGTGAAGCGGTCGACACACTCAACTACCTCACTCCCTATCACTAGTTCGGGTGTCGATGTAACCCAATCCTGAAGCAACATTTTGCATTTCGAGGGAGAGAATCGCATCCCGAACATGCTTGCATTGTTGCTTAGAGTGGTCAGAAGACTCTGCATTTTGTCAGCGTCTTCACCAAATAAAACTATGTCATCAGCATATTCTAAGTCAACAAGTGAACCTCCCGGTAGAAGTTCAACCCCTGGAAATTTAGATGAGGAGAGTGTTATCTCTAAAAGTACGTCAATGACAAAGTTGAACAAGAATGGGGAGAGTGGACAGCCCTGACGAACACCACTTGAGGTAATCAATTCTGATGACAGTTCGCCATAAGCTCTCACTCTACCGGTTGTGTTCGAGTAGAGAGCCTTTATAAGGTTAATGTACTTCTTTGGTACTCCTTTCAGTGACAAACACTGCCATAGAACTTCACGATCAACAGAGTCGAATGCCGCCTTAAGGTCGAGAAATACTACCATTGTGGGGCGTCTGAATGTGTGTCTGTGTTCTAGAACCTGACGTAGTGTGAATATCTGATCTATACAACCACGTCCAGGTCGAAAACCGCCCTGGTTTTCTCTAATCTGCTCTTACATCACAACTGCAATGTAAGTCGGAGCAGAACGTGAATTGATACAAACAGCTCATGCCAAGAGAGCTCCATTTTGGAGCTATTTCGGCACCATTTCAATTTTTGAGACGCTGCAGCCTTAAAGACGGTAACACCAGGTAAAAATAGGTACGATTAACATGCTGATAGTCCGTAAGCATCATTTAAAGGACTTATGTTCAGTAAGTATATTTACCATGAAAATATGGTTTCACATGTTGAATTTAACAAAAAACTTTATACACTGAGATATGACGACTTTTGCAAAACTTTATATACTTGGATTCTAACTTCAGGAAAACATAAGCACGAAATCCAAGTCTATGCAGGAAAGTTTAGGCACCCATTCTCCATGTTTCGGGGTAACTTTTATCCGTTTTAGGGAAGCCGCTGCAGAAAACTTTAAGAAAATGGAAGAAGAACCCCAAATTTTCACCAGATCTGGGGAAATTTCCTTAAGCTTTGGGGAAGACTAATGTAATTTTGGGGAAACCTAAAAATTTCAACAAAACAAATGTTGAGTTTGCAGGAATTCATGAGTTAAATGTCCAGTCTCCTTATTTTGAAGACGTTTTGGAGGTTTTATTACCATATTCCCAAAACTATTTATAGCAACATCCCCAAAACAGGTAAAATTTTCCCAGAAATCGGGAGATTAACGGCTTAATGAGAATATAGAATCAAAACAATTTCACACGTACCTCTTTTTTATGACTATTAGTTTCTCCCTGGAGACTATGTACTCGACATAAGTAATTCATGTAGTCAGGACATCTGACTGAAAAGACTCAACGAATACAGCAAAACTTACGATCAACCATCCCGCGGTAGCTCAAGACTTGATGTACAGCCAAATGGTTCCAAACATTCGTTACTATGATGCGAAACGTTAAGCTCTTGATTACTTATCTAAACACTATTTACTTACTAACTATCACAATGACAAGTGTTCATAAAAGAATTTCTATAAGACTTTCAAAGTGTCATGACAACACTGAAGGCCGTCCACAAGTTATGGGAAATACAAAAAGAATCAAAAGCAATGCATTGAAGTGGAAATTCTTATCAGTTTATCCCCAAGGATCGAAATGCATAGATTCGGTACGTTTTTACAGCTAAATACTAGATTAAAATGTCTGTGTGTGTATTGCGGTGGCGAGACTAATTTATAGATTAAACAATCAGATACAACAGGTTTTGTATTTTAGCACGACATTCACTCGCGCATCTGGCTAGATAGCCTTTTGGCATTTTATCTGATGTCAGTTAGTGATGGGAACTGTCAATCTAGTTCCCAACCCTAACCACCAACTGTAAATTACACTGGTTTAGAACCTTCATTATGTCTTAAATAGCAGGTAATTACTCTCAAGGTCACTTGTGTGGCGCCAAAAAGTTCTCTGTAAATTATAGTCTCACCGAATGTTTTCTTGATATTTTTTGATTAAAAGACGTAAGAAACGCATTTGGACGCAATTCGAAAGACACTCAATAGCAATGATTATTGATAATACGTGTTCGTTATTGGATTTTTTTATTTTAATGCACTTAAATAGCTGCTGGCAATGTCAGTTATCCCAATAATTCATCCACAACTTTCAAATATTTTGTTGTCCACAACCCTCTAGAAACCACTCCAAGACTTTCAAACTTATCTACCTATATCTATGGGCTACTATGGCATTATATCTGATAACTGTGATCTTTTTCGTTGGCTTCTAGGTGAATGGGTGTCTCTTGATTATAGCATACAAATCGCAAAATCATCCGAATACTTGACATCTGGTCGTGTTTATAATCACTTTTACCCTTCATCGTGCTGGGTGCTTTCATAGAGTCATCTACAAACGTTAAGATGGATAATGAGAAGGAGTGTATGCACTCTTTTTACGACGGTGTCGAAGAACATGAATAGCAGATACCTCGACAATGATACTCCAGAGATACTATTCGTTGAAAGACACAGTATAATTGAACGTTGGGTGATACAGATGAACTTGAGTATTTTAAGCTGACTATAAATATATTGGGAAGAGTATAACATCGGCTATGCTAAGACATGGTCATGAAGAATGACCAAATGCCTCCAGATGGCAGAAGGCATTAAAATCACCGACGTTAATATTGATGTCATGCCTTTACAGCTACCAATCCTGGAAGTTATTTACCAGTGAAGGAGCTCAATTGACCGCTTTCGGCTGTATACATATATTCATTCACGGACTGAACACTCAAATCTCGCATTGCTCGCATGATCTGGATTTCATCTCACAAAATCAAACTGTGCTTCTGAGGATTTCTTAAAGGGACCATGAGAGCTTAAACAAATTTGTAGAATTTTTGATTTGCAATCAGCCGAAACTTTTGGTCCATCATCAATGATGAATTTCGGTGGAACTGTTCCATTTATCATTCAGTGAGTCAGGTAGACACTGTGATAACTAACTTCCACTGCTCTAGATTATTTAGTACTCATTTCAGATGGCCGTCTATTCACTTCTTCAATAGAGACACCCACGTTCGTTTATAATACCACTTAAATTTTAGCATTATTCATGTATTCCCATACTTCAACACCACTGGCGTAAGTGGGATGACTTCATCAACATGAGAAGAGCATTCTAAAGAAGTACGAATAGGTATTAAAAATGTCACAAGTATTCGGATTTCGACCATGCTTTAACCAGTAACACCTTTATAATAGAAGTATGCCAACTCAGTCAAATCAAAAGTCAGGAATCAAGAAGTTCTAAGATATACTTGGAAGGTTATCAGTAAGTCGAAGGAATGTTTGGTCGAAGCTGGCTAGTATTCGAAAAGGGATGTTAAGCACGCGAACCGACTTGTGATATGGTGCGGTTGCGTGACCGGGCTCTTTCAGCTAGCTGAGTCCACCAAAACGAATGCGGTTAGCATCAAATGTCGAAGACTTACAGAGCTATCGATTATGAAGATTTATTTACCGCCACAGTATTCTTGAGTTCGTCCAATATTACTAGGTTTTTATTAGAACAGTGTACGTTGTACGCAATAACACCCTCTTATTATCTAAATAACCTATTCACTCACAACCTTCCGTCTCCGAATCGTCTCGTGAAATCGCTCAACAGCATGCAGACTACTTTTAATGATTCTGGTAATTAAGATGTTACATAACGAAATTCCCCTGATGTAAATTTGAACATGAACTACTCAGAAGTCACGAAATGCATTCCAAGTTCCACAAATGAAGTAATATGTATACAAGTCCTATTAGAGTAAAGGAGTAACAATCTTCTCAGTTTCAGCCTCCTTTTTGAAATTTAAGGATTGCAACGAAAACAGATAAACGGTCATACAAAGCAGTAGAGAAAAATCAAGTAGGGTCCAAAATTTCCAATTAAGTTACAGAAAAATTAGTGAACACAACGAAGTTTGAAGGTTCTCATGTCCACTGATAGAGTATGAGAAAATAAATCAAAACAACAAACTGAATGCAACAGAACCTAAAAGACGAAAATAAAATCAACAATTATCAGAGCTGAAAGAAAAATCCGCTTTCAAATAATTTATTAGAAATTACGGGTGAAACAGAATACAGAGGTTTAGAAATACATATATCGAATGGTTCAAATGGTTGTGGACGGAAAAGAGGAAACTTTCTCTCAACGGGCATTGGATCAGCAATACCTCCAGGCATGAACCTAGGTATATTACAGATAAAATAAAAAATCATAGTAAGATACCATCCTTAGTCCTTAAGAATAGGTCAAGTTCCCCCTTGAAGGGCTACTGGGGTGTCACCTGCACTGGCTCAGCCGGCAGCGAATTCCAGCATTCGGCTACTCTTAGAAAACAGAAGTTGGATCTAAAATCCGTTCTGCTTTGTTGTTTCCAGTTTCTGGGTAATACCCCTTAGGTTTGTGTTGGAACTAAACTTAAGTAGGTGTTTAAGTGGATGTCCAGAAAGGTTAAGGATGCTGTAAGCTATTAGAAGGTTACCTCTAAGACGCCTGTACTCTAATGAGTAAAGGTTAAGTGATTGGACGCGCTCTTCATTAGGCTTGAATTCGAGTCTACGTACTGATTTCGTGGCTTGCCGTTGAATACGCTCCAGAGTGTCCTCATCCTTTTGGAGTGAGTAAAGAAATACTATGTTCCCGTACTATAAGTTGCAACAAATGAAAATGTTGAAGATTATATGTATCCGAAGCCAAGGTAAACGCCCAAGCATAATATACGCTGTCCATCTTACCATTCATTTCCATTTGGTGAGTATAATCAATGGCTTATATCCACAAATGCTGATGACACTGGTACATTTCTCACTCTATCTACAGCTTTTCGTAAGATGTAATTAGTCAAGTTAAAATGAGTTGTTCCATATTTCTTTTACGTCATGTTTCGACTGATCTGACCTTGAAACTAGCCGTATACAAACTTCCCTCAGTGCTCTTTTTAACTCCTACTTATTTATCTAAACACCTTAATTAACGTACGAGGGAGATTGTGTGTATTTTAGTTCCAAGTCACGTCTGTATTGGGTAAGTTTGGAAGTAAAAGTAATAAAGGCAATAAGAAATTTTGACTAAAAATTCAATAATAACATGTGACATTTCTAAAAATAATGCGAAGGCAGTCACGACGGACAACTCACAAGCTTGAATTTAAACGGGCCTGGTTGCAAAACTGTAATTACAAAAAGCTAGGTTTCGTAAGAGGGTAGTAACTGTTCCCAGAATACTGTCCTCATTGAAGCCCATTGAGGCGATTTAACATAATTCTCCGCATAGTCCATATCATCTTGTTGATATGCATTCTACCGCCTTCTGACACAAACACGAACTATCAGTATAGGTGTTGTGGAGATTGTCAAGTTTTTGATTAACATCATGAATCAGTTGATGTTAGACCACCGTTGGAAACCTGGAAGCACTGGACGGCCGTTTGGTCCTAGTATGGGACTCCTCAGCAGTGCGCATCCACGATCCCGCTCCCCGCGAGATTCGAACCCAGGATCTATCGGTCTCGCGCCAGGCGCTTAACCAACTGGACCACTGAGTCGCCATCCAATGGTGTTAGTGTCTAATCAACGAAATTGCGCGACCAACTTCCATTGTACTGAGGTAGATACCTGTCTCTACCCGACACGGATTAGCTCTACTAGTCACGGCTTCTCAATAGAACTCCGAGAATTCCCTCACGAACCATATATGATTACCAGTCAACAGACATTTGATACGAACAGATAAAAACAACATAGTTCCGTGTATCAGTAATATACTGTACACAAGCAGGATGATGTTCTTTCTGTGCTAGGTCACGAAACAGCAGCTGCAGAACAGATTAAATTCGCAGGCATACGGAAAAATCAGGAATAATCAATATGAAGTTCCAGTTTACACACATACAAGTAATAAGGAACAAACTATCGTGTTGTTTTATATTAAGACCGGATTTCAATAAAAACATCGCAAAAAAGGTTTTATTGTATTTTAACTAGTTCACATTAATTCTAACGTTCTTTAAGGCAGTTTCAAAATCAACAATAATCAAACGATACTGGTGTTGTCCACAAAGCATATCTTATACGACAGAATTTTCTTTACTATAAGGAAATGACCCATGATGTATATGAGACCGGATAAACGATAATCTGTTACTTATCTGATGAAATAGAATTCGGTTGTATGAGAAAGTGAGTTAGCACTAGAATCACACACAATATTCACACACTCAAACTCCGATTCCTATAGTAACATTTGGGTTGAAGCACGAAATA